TAATTAAAAGTGTATTTCAACACACTTTCTCGTAAATTGGATTCAATTTCGACGGTTTTTAATATATACAGCAGCTAATGAAACAAGCGTGCGTTATAAACGCAAATAGTGAAGTTATATTCCATAACAGAATTATTTGCTATTATTTTCAAATTTCGAAGTGACCACCCCGCGTCACTAGCCTGTAGAGAGCGCGTCATTTTAAAAAAAGTAAAACGGCGGGAAAGCAAAATGGGCAACAGTTTTATGGTTGAGTATATTTCAAAAGAAGTGTGTTGGATAACGTCGTACGATATACGTGCGTGTTTAACACACTCGCCTCTATTACACCTTACGCGTGTTATAACCATCATAACGCACATATATCGTAATGTACTATTATATCATTTTAGCCACCGCTATAAAATAAGTTATATAATGCGGTCTGTGTCTTGTAAAGTGTGTACTTATAAAAAAAATAAGACATGATTTTCAGCATTTGACCGTTGATCTTGCATTTTATACTGGCAACATAGAATAGTTATATTATTAGTTTAGGGAACACTGTAAGACATTTTGAATCTCAATAATCAACATATATAGTTGATTTTGCACTGAGCAATAAGTACCTAGATAAAAGACTATGTAAGTATGTCATCCGAGCCATAGATTTAAGAGTTTGATACTTATTTTTTTTATATATTTTTTTTATATTGTGTTCAGTATTGGTTTATATTTCATTTCGGTATCTACACAAAATATTGGCATGATATAGAGAACTTTATTGAAGACGCTCTCTATAGTTTGTTAGTTACATATTTTACTGGAATTTGTATTTATCTGTATGAGTACTGTATGACTGATAAAAAATCTCAAAAAATTATATATTTTTTTTTAAATCGGTTAAATTAGCTAATATTTAAATCTACCTTTATCTAACTATTAATATATATATATATATATAACTTAATTTGACAGTTGCAGTTACAAACTGACTTGTATGTTTCACAACTTGAAATGTGAAATTCTTTATGTATAATTATAAAACTGTTAATTTCAAACAAAACAATGGCAACTATGTTACATAATTAGCAGTCTGATCCTTCACAAGTAATATATATCTTCATAATTATAAGTAATTATATAAAAAATTATATTACATTTTCCGTCCATACATAGGCATATGATGTTCTTGTTATATGCTATAATTAACCTCAGTATGATGTAATAAGACTGATTTACCTATATTACCTATTCTAAGACTAATTGTTTTTATATATTTTTTTTAATTTTATTTTTATATATTACATTATCATATCAATTTATAAATGACTATAGTATGAATATATAATAACATAATTATAAAGTCGAACTAGAAATTATGGTTTAAATATTTTAGATTATGTCGCTATGGTCTTACTTAAATATGCATACTGTGTTCATTTATTTATTCACTTAATACAATATAAATTTACAACTAATTGCGATTTGTTTGTATCATAAAACTATTATACTTAACTATATACACTACTTCACTATATAAAGACAGGTACATTCTTATTTAATTTATTATAGAAGGCAAGGCTTCTGAACGTCAACATTTTGGACCACCCCAAAATAAGTTTAAGATATGCAATCGAACAGTGTACGGTTAATAAATAGTAAAGGATTATTTTTTCAATACGAGATTAAGATGTATGATCTTTGTCTCTTCACTTGGGTATAAAATAAAAAAATATTAGAATTTGACAGCACTTGACTCGTTTTTGTTTATCGATAGAACTGTATTTTTTTATTATATTATGTATTCCTTATCTATGACTTTTTAATAATAAAAAAAAACATGTATCTCGGTAGTCCGTCCAATGGTAATTTGTGTTCCATATTTAAATTTAAAATACTTTTAATGTAAGTAGTTATAATTGGCGCTAATTGTAATGTGTCATTGAAAGAAATGCGCAACGCGCGTCATTGTGCCTTTTATGATTTTTTAAAAAAAAAAATTAATTATAAAATTGTAATTTGTTTTCTTTTTAAAGTAGGTGAGTAATTATAAATGGCGCTAATTGTAAGGTGTCATTGAAAGAAATGCGCAACGCGCGTCATTGTGCCTTTTATGTGTTTTTAATACAATAAATTAATTATAAAATTATAATTTCATTTTTTTAATGTGGGTAAGTAATTATAAATGGCGCTAATTGTAATGTGTCATTGAAAGAAATGCGCAACACACCTCATTTAGGCTTTTATTTGTTTTTAATACAATAAATTAATTATAAAATTATAATTTATTTTTTTTAATGTGGGTAAGTAATTATAAATGGCGCTAATTGTAATGTGTCATTGAAAGAAACTCGCAACACACGTCATTGTGCCTTTTATGTGTTTTTAATTCAATAAATTCATTATAAAATTGTAATTTCTTTTTTTTACTGTGGGTAAGTAATTATAAATGGCGCTAATTGTAATGTGTCATTGAAAGAAATGCGCAACGCGCGTCATTGTGCCTTTTATGTGTTTTTAATACAATAAATTCATTATAAAATTATAATTTCATTTTTTTAATGTGGGTAAGTAATTATAAATGGCGCTAATTGTAATGTGTCATTGAAAGAAATGCGCAACGCACATCATTGTGCCTTTTATGTGTTTTTAATGCAATAAATTCATTATAAAATTATAATTTCTGTTTTTTAATGTGGGTAAGTAATTATAAATGGCGCTAACTGTATTGTCATTAAAAGAAACGAGCAATGCGCGTCATTGTGACCTTTATGTGTTTTTAATACAATAAATTCATTATAATATTGTATTTTTTTTTAATTTTATCTAGAGCAAGTAAATAACATGCAGGTTACCGCCGCATAGTATGAAACTACACGTTAAGGTTTTGTTGGCATGTGCCTCTTTTAAAAGTGTTACTCGATTTTTTTTTATAGTGTCATATGCATTGGTAATCTGTTTCATATATTTTAGAAGTTATGAAGGATGCTTTGTAAATTGATGGTTGAGATATGGCAGTGAAGTTACAGAATACGCAGGTGGAACACTTGAGCTCCTAAATGGGTAACAACGATACATGATAAAGTTATGTACACGGTGCTGTTTATATTTATAGGCGGCTTGTTTGTCATTGCAGTTACAAAGAAAAATATTATTTGTGTAAAACAGTCCAAGCTCTTTTTTAGTTATATACTTTAATTTAATTAATTATTATCTGTTATTATACCAATGCTTAATTCTGGTTAAATTCTAATGACAATGTAATTTTACTTACATAGTTGTCCTAATTTATACGTAATTTTCTCTATTTATGTAGGTATATATATATTTTCCTACACCGAAGGTCATATTGTATCTACGGTTCTTTCCCAATACATTTTTTTTGTAAATTCTATTAGCATTTCTGGGTGTTAATAATATAAACAATTATACTCATGAAAAATGTTTATACTGTGCGTGGAATCGAACCCACGAAACTTAGAATTAAAGCGGTGTGCTGAACCGCTAGACCACAGCCGTCTAAAATATTTAGGTACAATCGAAAGGCTCGTCTCGTCTCCGTTACAAGAGGGTCCTGGGACACTACAATGTAGGTACACGGCGCGGCGCGGGCGACAAGGTTTGGGTTTGTTCCAAATAGTAGGTATATTACTAGCTAGCCGCCCCGGCTTCGCACGGGTGTACATGTATTATATATATTAACCTTCCTCTAAAATCACTCTATCTATTAAAAAAGCTTCAAATTCCGTTACGTAGTTTTATAGATTTAAGCATACATAGGGACGTACAGACAGCGACAGCGACTTTATTTTATACTAGCTGTTCCCTCGACTACGTCCGCGTGGAATTTAACCTTATTTTTCTAAAATAAAAGTAACCTAAGTTACTCATTACATCAGCTACCTGCCAAAAAGTCCCGTCAAAATCGGTCCAGCCATTTCAGAGATTAGCCAGAACAAACAGACAGACAGACAAAAATAGTAAAAAAAATGTTATTTTGGTGTATGTATCGTATTTATATTCATATGCGTGTAGTAAAAAACGGTTATTTAAATATTACAAACAGAGTGTCTGTTTGTAATATACAAATAACCGTTTTTTTTAATACTGATATAATTTTATTTATATTTATAGATTACATAATGATGGTAATGATGATTGGAATTGGGTGAGCCCGCCCCTTTATTTATATATTTTTTATTTATTTATATACTCCATTGCATAAGATATAGAAAAACATCAATTAATATAAAAATTATATGTATACAATAACAGGTAAAAAGGCGGTCTTATCGCTAAGCAATCTCTTACAGACAGAAGAGATTGATTGAAAAATATATAAATAAAGGGGCGGGCTCACCCAATTCCAATCATCATTACTATCATTACGTAGTCTATACGTATAAATAAAATTGGAGTGTCTGTTTGTAAAATTGAAATAACCGTTGTTTACTATATGCATATGAATATAAATATCGTATATACACCAAAAATATATTTTTTTGCAATTTTTGTCCGTCGGTCTGTTTGTTCCGGCTAATCTCTGAAATGGCTGGACCGATTTTAACGAGACTTTTTTTGGCAGGTAGCTGATGTAATAAGGAGGAACTTAGGCTGCTTTTATTATGAAAAATTATTTTATTTTAGAAAAATAAAATAAAATTCCACGCGGATGAAGTCGCTGGTATATAGTATAAAACAAAATCGCTCTCGCTGTCTGTCCGTCCCTATGTAAGCCAGTCTTTAAAACTACGCAACGGATTTTGAAGCGGTTTTTTTTAATAGATAGTGTGATTCAAGGGAAAGTTTTATATACATGTATAATACATGTACACCCGTGCGAAGCCGGGGCGAGTAACTAGTATTATATATTTAAAAAGAATCAAGATAAGTAGAACACACCTTTTGCTAACTAACACTATGAGTTGTGTACTCCAAATACACCCCACAATTTTAATCTCCACAGATCCGAGTCACAGATGCGTACGCGCATTCATTCAGTCAGTAATTCAAGAATAACTCGCGAATGCGGACGCATATGCGCACGTCACGTCATTAATAGGTCGTGAAGTTTATTATTACAGTGAAAACTATAAAATGGCCAATTCGAACACAGAGACGGAATGGATCCGCACACCTCCACCGTCTGGACCCCTGTGGCAGAGAATCGCCAAAGTGGTGTACAACCCGACCGATGGGAGTTTTTTCGGCAGAACATCTAAAAGATGGGGTAAGTTCTTATTCAACAAGATTCATCATGCAAAGATGGCTTCATGAAATACAGCCACTGTTACTAGGTCATATATTAATTTTCTATCTAATAATTAATTTCTAAAACATATCTATCATTTTTTAATCTAAATCTTTAAAAACATACAGGAAAATATTTTTTATTCTTTATAAGTTTATAATTAGGATAAATTACGAAATTATCTATAAACCACGCGTATATTTATGTTTTCATTACTCTTTGAACAGTGTTTATAAATAATTAACGTTTATAATTAATAAAAAAAATGTATTAATGCTAAAAAAATCTGTATGAAATCTATATAATAGTGAATCATATAAATTAGGAAATAAATAACTAAATTATAGCAATAATTTGTAGAAATCATAACTGTCTTACATTTACATTGGTTACAAACACACGTGTGTAATTTTAACTTATTTTTAGATATTAAACAGTAATTTTTATTATAGCTGTGTTATATTATAATGTTATAATATTTAAACGAATTGAGGGTATCGACAAATCTATTAATTGGAATATCTAATTATTAGATACATGTTTAGTTATGTAACCGCTAGCTAAGAGCTAAGAGTCCGTACTTTGTTCGTTCGAATATGATGGACATATTAAATTCGGTTTTACTATTTCATGTATGTATTTCTACTCTAAATATATGTCAAAATCGTTGTTTTCGTCTATCTGTTTCACTATTTACCTCCTCTAAACCACGCATCAGTTCACGGCTTTCTCTGACATTTAGAGAATTTCTTCAGGCAGATTCATATGCTTGCTACCTGTGCGTGTGCTTTCAACCGCATGAAATTTATAGCCTATATACTATTCCGATGTATAAGCTATTTAACTGTAAAGTTTAATTAAAATCCGTTCAGTAGTTTTTGCGTGAGAGTAACAAACATCCATCTATATATACATCCAGATTCAACAACTTTCTAATTTATATTAGTATGATAGATCTCTGTTATATTACCTACACTGTGCACGAGTACGTCGGGAAATAAAAAAAACTGTCTGATATATACAAACAGTCATAGTTATGAATATCCACTCAAGGGCGAGGTGATGGTGAGTTTATAAAACCGAAAGTGTATATTTGTTATGCTTTCACGCTTCAACCAATCTATATATTTAGCTTATACGTAATATTTGGGATCGTCAAGGACATACGTTTTTATCTTGTTTAACCGTAGTCATAAGGGGGTTTTATTTTTTTGATGGATGATAATGGAATGGCGACCCCGCCTGAGATAACAGTATACGCAGGCGGGGCACCAGTGGATGGTAAAGATGAACATGAGGTCAGCTCAGTTAATCCATCCATAAGTGAGTAGCGGTTTCTATGTTGATAGTCGCATGCCTAATCCTTGTTAATATAAATATAATTAAAACAATATTCATTTAAAAGAGCAACAAACAAGTTTCTTGCTCATTCTTCTTGTGATGAATCTGCATTCCGAATGAGTGGTAGAATCAAAAAAACTTGACTATTCAAAAGTGCTTATATTAGGTTTATTTGATTAAAGATTATTTCTATTTCATCGTGGCAAATTTACCAGCAATTTATCACCAAGGGAACAGCGTGGAGGTCAACCTGTCGTAAGGACGTTAGTCCCTGCTACTTAGTTTACTGTACTGACGAATCCGGTTAACATCCCTGTCCATCGTATGATCCTCCACTGGTGCTCCACCAGCGGAAACTGTTAGAAACTTGTGAACCGTTCCATTATCATAAAAAAAATCACAGTGTTGTGTTCACAGTTTTCGTGTTTGCACTTAAAAAAACATACTTTAAATTTTCACCCTTCTATCACCAACCCCTATTTTCAATAGTGAATTTAATTTATATAGCAAAACAATGTTTGCCGGGACAACTAGTAATATAGAAATAAATTACATATAAAAGAAATCTATACATCTATACATATAAATAAAATTGGAGTGTCTGTTTGTAATATTGAAATAACCGTTTTTTACTACATGCATATGAATATAAATACGGTACATACATCAAAATAACATTTTTTACAATTTTTGTCTATCTGTTTGTTCCGGCTAATCTCTGAAATGGCTGGACCGATTTTGACGGGACTTTTTTTGGCAGGTAGGTCATGTAATAAAGAGTAACTTAGGCTATTTTATTTTAGAAATATAAAGTTAAATTCCACGCGGACGAAATCGCGGGTACAGCTAGTATACAATAGAAATATATACCTACATAGCAACTATGCAATTAAGAATGAGATAATTTTAGTAAGAAAGTACAGCAGAAAGAACATATACTGAGAGAGATAGTCCTATTTCATAGAGTTATTAAAAATGGCTAGTGTTAGTGTAACATAAAACTAAATTTTCCAACGGGTAATAAGGAATTCCGTTAATAATATCTGTTAAATGCGAATATGAACATAGAGCCGTGTACTGCATACTGATGTTTCGTATACAATACGTAATAAATAATACACATGTACTTATTGTGTACTAGCTGTACTCGCGACTTCGTCCGCGTGGAATTTAACTTAATTTTTCTAAAATAAAAGTAGCGTAAGTTAATCCTTATTAGATCAGGTACCTGCCAAAAAAAGTCCCGTCAAAATCGCCATTTTTTTGAGATTAGCCAGAACAAACAGACAGACAGACAAAAATTGTAAATAATGTTATTTTGGTGTATGTGCCGTATTTACATTCATATGCATATAGTAAAGAAACGGTTATTACAATATTACAAACGGACATTTTAATTTTATTTATATGTATAGATGTTTGTTTTATTGTTGCTATCATACAAACTGGTATGAAAATTATTTTTACTTAGACTCAGTATCATATTGCAATTGTCATATCTATACATATAAATAAAATTGGAGTGTCTGTTTGTAATATTGAAATAACCGTTTTTTACTCATGCATATGAATATAAATACGGTACATACACCAAAATAACATTTTTTACAATTTTTGTGTGTCTGTTTGTTCCGGCTAATCTCGGAAATGGCTGGACCGATATTGACGGGACTTTTTTGGGCAGGTAGGTCATGTAATAAGGATAACTTAGGCTATTTTCATTTTAGAAAAATAAAGTTAAATACCACGCGGACGAAGTCGCGGCTACGACTAGTATACAATAAATTTATATATAATAAATTAACAAAACACACATGTACTCTATTTAAAGAAAGCGGCAATTTCGTAGATGACTCATTCCATATATACATTAGCCAAAAGCGTCCGAGTGTCTGTCAGTTTGTTAGGACTAAATCAAGATCGCTGGAAGGCATTGGATACGAGCAGCGCAGGACCGATCGTCGTGGAGATCTTTGGGGGAGGCCGATGTCCAGCAGTGGACGTCTTCCGGGCTGCGATGATGATGATGAAATTTAAATGTCTGTTACCAAAAGCCTGCTGTAGTGACTGCTTAGGTTATACAGTCTGCTGAAAATTCTTTTACACTATAATAAGTCCTTACAATCAATTTTTTATTTATTATATATTTATTAATGTAGATATTTTCATATGCATGTATTAAAATACGGTTATTTCAATATTACAAACAGACACTCCAATTTTATTTATATGTATAGATGTATATGCAATTACAAAAAAATAATTATATGACTATTCAAAAGCGCTTATATTAAGTTTATTTGCCGTCGGTGGTCTAGCGGTTTAGCACTCCGCTTTACTTCCGATGGTCGCGGGTTCGATTCCTTGCATGGCACAAACATTTATATTTATGAGTTAGATAGTTTGTATCAGTCTGGGTGTTTTCTATATATAGTATGTTTGTATTTACTAAATATTTATATGAGTTATCTAGTACCCATAACAGAAACTCTGCTTACCTTGGGACTATAATTATTAAGTTTTTTTTAATAAATACTATTTCTATTTCTCATTAAAAATAGAATAAACTTAGGTTTATGTATGATACGTATCATACATAAACGTATCATACATTATTTATAATAGAATGAACCTAGGTTCATTCTATTATAAATAATAATATAGTGATGAAAGGAATATAAAAACACAATCATCTCGCGTACGTATACCTGTGTCACAGTATATATATTGTTTAAATAAACAAATCTCTCAGCTGGTGTTATTGTACCTATTTTTATGATAAACGATAACACTGTGACATTGTTCAGCGAACTGCTGAGTCGATACTGTCTACTAATTTTATTTACCTACTGCTTTTCTACTGTTATTATAAAAGCTGTGATAAAAGTGTCAAAATTCTGTTAATCATCTACACATATAAATAAAATTGGAGTGTCTGTTTGTAATATTGAAATAACCGTTTTTTACTACATGTATATGAATATAAATACGGTACATACACCGAAACTTCTTGTCTTATGACAAGAAGGATTTAGCACAATCACTTACTATATTTAAAAATTCACTAAAATCTCATTATCTCTCTCCCTCTGTAACTGAACTATAACTAAATTTTCCTTTTGTTCTCATCTCATATGTAGTATATGTATGTATATAATATGTAATAGTGTGTAAGTTTATTTATTTATACTTATAAAATGTATGTGTATATATACAGTGGGTTGCCAAATTAATCGGGACAGTCACATTTTTTATAATTTTTGTTCTTCAAGTGGTCTTGACTACGTTTTTAAGTGGTAAAAGTTTTTTGCTGATATGTTTTTATGTTCACCTTGTCTCTATAACTCAAATTCAAAGTGAATTTCAAGTGCTGAGAGATTTGTTTATTTTGGAAATATATTTTAATGACGGGAGAGACACGTGAAACACGTAAATTATTCTTTTAAACAGTTATTTAGTGGTTTTGTGAAATAATCAATACCTGCAAGTAAGTAATATTTTACTATAATTAAAATTAAAGTATTTTGGAGCGGATTTTAGAACAATTTTAATTTATTTTTATATTTTCAGCTTTGGCTATGGGTCGAGGGGTAGATTTGACTCCGAGAAAAAAATCCAAGGTTAAAACCCTTCTCCTA